GCGGGTGCGGCAGAGAGAAGAGAGTAGGCGCGAGGTCACACCAGATCCCTTTCTGGTTCCCAAGCACGCAGGCACGCGTGAGTCGCGCCTCCCGGTGTGTGGGCACATCACCCGCGTGACGCGAAGCGACGAAGTCGAGGGCAAAGGGGGGGGAGGGGGGAGAAGGAAAGGAGGAAAAAAAAAAAAAAAAAAAAAAAAAAAAAAATGAGATGAGAACAATACATAGCAAGACCTTGTCTCTTTAAAAAAAAAAAAAAAAAAATGGAAGGGGAGAAGGAAAGGAGGAAAGAAAAGAAAAGAAGAAAGAGAACGAAAATGAGATGAGAACAATTCAGAATAAAAACTGAGTTTAGTGCTCACTTCGGCAGCACATATACTAAAATTGGAACGATACAGAGAAGATTAGCATGGCTCCTGCGCAAGGATGACACGCAAATTCGTGAAGCGTTCCATATTTTAAAAAAAAAAACAACTGATTACTAAAATCTAATCAGAAAAATTCTTGAGCTTGAGATGTATTTACTTGGTGATCTTAAGTTGGATGAAGGTAATTTATATAGTAGAACTTAATGATATAGAATTTAAAGAAATTTAAATAAAATCTCAAGAAAAATTCAAAAACTTAAACCACAAATTTCATTTGATGCTGTGTGGTGGGAATGTAAGAATGCTGTGTTTTTAATGTAGGCCAAGATCCAGATGTTTGCACTCAAACTTAGCAATGGCATTTTATGAGAAATGTTATGGAACTTGTAATTTCTGTTTTCTGCTTTGTTTTATTTGGAAAACATTCTAAGATGTAGTCAAAGCTAGCTGGGAATCACTTATATTGGTTTTTGAGTTCAAGAATGTGAACTCAATGTGAATATGGAACCCCATTTGGGATGACCTTTAGTAGGTATGAGAGTTCAAAAGCCCTTGGGTCCCAGTTAGGCCGGTGCAATGAATCCTCTACCTAACTCTCAGGAGACCTGGGGCAATACTGAGAGAAAATAGAAATTGTCTAATCTGAACCATTTAAATGACAGGTGACTTGTAGTTTTTGATATGTTTTCCATTGTAATTTCTTTCTTTTTTTTTTTTTTCTTGAGGCAGAGTCTTGCTCTGTTGCCCGGGCTAGAGTGCCATGGTGTCAGCCTAGCTTACAGCAACCACAAACTTCTGGGCTCACATGATCCTTCTGCCCCAGCCTCCCAAGTAGCTGGAACTACAGGCGTGTACCACTACACCTGGCTAATTTTTCTATTTTTAGTAGAGACAGGGTCTTGCTCTTGCTCAGGCTGGTCTTGAACTCCTGACCTCAAGTGATCCTCCCACCTCGGCCTCCCAGAGTGCTAGGATTACAGGCATGAGCCACCATGCCCGGCCTGGCATCTGAGAATTCTTAAGGAATCAACATTTCTCACTCACCAGAGGAATGGCCAGTTATTACCTAGACCTTATATGAAGAAGAGGACTAAACCTGGAGTCTTGAGGGCCTTGTAGCTTGAAAAAACTAAGGCATTACAGGATATGATAACCCTAACTAGAGAAGAAAGAAAAGGAGGGTAAGCAGTGGAAATGCCTGTGATAAGAAGAGGACAATAATGGTAATAGTGAAGAAAACACAAAGCAAGTAAGGCTCAGACAGAGGGTGTGTTTGTAAAAACAAAGACCCATGAGGAAAAAGTAAATAGTGCAGGATTTTCAGCTAAATTGAAGGCAGCACTTTCCCCTTTGTGTTGTTAATATTTTTCTGTTAAGTGTTTGTGGCTTCCATTGTGAAACTGGATACTCAGGTAGGGCCTTTTAGGCCCTTAGTGTCCTCCTGGGGTGAAGGCTGTACTTTCCTTTGTTTTTTAGGCAACCTGTGTTATTGTGTCTGCCTGAGACTGTAAGTGGGCAGCACCTAGAAATGGATACTCAGAAGCCAATTCCAAGACCCATATGCCTAGGTTCAAGAGAACAGATGCACTATTACTGGACTTTCTGCATACACAAATCTGATCATGTCATACCCTACCTTTAAGCCATGCAGTGGCTCCCCACTGTCAGCAGTATAAAATCATGTCCTGTAAGGCCCTTCAAGAGAGGGACTAGCTTATCTTTCCAGATCTCATTTTTCTGTTCCAGCCTATCTGTCCATCTCATGTCCAATCATACTCAACCCTTTGTGGTTCTGTAGAGACACTCTACTCCTTCTCACCTTCTGCCTTCGTACATATTCCTGCTGCCCTTATGCCTGTTATATTCTTCCAACTCCTCCTACTTCTCCATCAAGATGATTTTCTATTCAGCCTTCAGGTCTCAAACTCTAAAATATATTCCCTTACTTCTCCCAAGACTGACACTGTTAAAAATTGCCAGTTTATTGATCTGTCACCCCTCCTATTCTAATCTCTCTGTAAAATACAACTCTGGGGGCACCACTTACATGGTTATGGAGTTTTAAGTGGTAGAGGT